ACTTTACCTTAACTATTTCTGAAGCCATAATTGAGAAGGCCCCAAGGTCCACTTTTCACGTATCCTTCAACCTTTCAGAATGGGTTTGAGTGATCATTTTTAAAACTAATGTCTGTTATGTTTGTAGAGTTTCCAAATGGTCACAGACATGGTCTTGTTGCAGCTTCACAACAATCACAGGAGGTGAGGGAGGGCAGCAGAGATTTCTGCCATCTTGCTAATGAGAAATTGAGGCTCAAGGGTATCAAGGGTCCAGCCCAAGGTCACCCAGACAGTTACTGGTTCACATGCAGGGACTAAGCTGGGGGGGTCTATTCCCAGCCATACATACTTCTCCCATCTGTACATTCCCTCTTCACTTTGCTAATGTTTCCTGGGGGCTTTCTCCATACCTGGTCTTGGGCTGGATATTTTCACTGTCTCTCACGCTCTTTAAATATTTCCTTCTTTTGCTGTAGAGTATGCTTTGAATGGTGGTAGTAGTGGCAGAAGCTACTTCAGAGAATTCCACCAGTGAACATTCTCATAAACACACACACACACACACACACACACACACACTTATGCCAGCCAGAGTGCAGGAGACTTGGGAATCACACAGAGAAGAATCACCTCATTTCCCAACTGCATCTAGGACTGTCTTCCACACTGCAGAGAGGGTCTTTAAATCCACGTAAAGTAATAACATCTGTTAATTTTATCAATTTAGTGGCGCACTTAACATCAGCCAAGCACTTTTTCTATACTAGCTCTTTTAATTCTTTGGATAACATTCGATCTCCATTGTATAGACAAGAAAACAGAAACTGATGCTCAAGGTCCAGTACCTTCTTCAAAGTCACACAGAAAATATGAGACAGAATGCTGACTCCAAAGCCCTGTTGTATGTGCTTTGTATGATTGACTTTGCTTCCTAGTATTTGCTTTTTTTGCTTCATATCATTAATATATTAAAGGACACATTATTTTTACTGCAGAAAGTTTATTTTTAAAAGAAGTTGAACTGCTTCAGATGTAGAATGCTGGAAAGACCATCACTCCCATTCTTACTACTCCAATAGAAAAGCAAGCCAGATAATTTGAAATTTTGCAACTTTTCTTTAATCCAGCAGAGATCTGAGGTTGCAAGGCAACCAGCTAACCTGAAATGTAAGGAAAGATAGGTACCTCTAAGGACAGCCAGGACTGGAAAACTTGCTTACCTGGAGTAGATGCCATCAGATGCTGGTAGGAAAAAAAAATAGCTAGAATATTTAACAAATTGCTAAAGGCTGAGCATGGGCTGCTGAGACTCTATGGCACTTCTGAGAGCCACAGACATAAGAAGAATTCGCTCTATATGCAGGCTTGTTTCCACAGCTGAACTGGGTGCTCACAAAAAAAGATAGGAAAGGGCAAGATGAGAATACTGAGAAAGCATCCCTTGCAGCATAGAACTGGGGGAGGGGGACAGAAACCACTGCAGAAAAAGCACAAATCCTCACCTGGATTTCCCTAACAAACGTCTAGGGGAAGGGCAATGAAACCTGCTGCCATGAGGGCACTAATGAAAATGGGAAATTACAACAACAGCAACCCCCATCCTCACACTATTCCTGGTGTATAGTAGGGTGGGCAGGAATGCATCCTAAGCCCAGACCAATAGCTGGGAGATAGACAGAACCACAAAGTGCCTGGCTAAGACTGAGACACAGTAAGCACAACAGAGGATATTCCCCAACCTCTACTACCAGGCAAACAGATATGGAGTAGCAGGTAACTGTGGTCTGTTCCTGGGAGAGGGACAAGAGACAGGAGAGAGACTCAATCTATGGCAAAGCACAAAGGAAGACTAAAAGCTGAGGGTGGAGCAGATGTTGAAAAAAATCCTCTGCAAACCAACCCCCAACTTAAACTCAAGCTAACACAAAAGGACTTTGAAGCTGGCAGCACACTGGGAGCAACTATAGCCAACAATGAAATCTAACATAGCTGAATTCCTAAATAGACCAACTCAACTGCCTATACTGAAGTCCTAGGAGAAATAAAGACATGCTCCATTCCCAGATGTTAAAACCTCAGTATATATTGTCCTACGTAAGATGTCTGGCTTTCAATTTAAAAAATGTGAGGCATTCAAAGAAGTGAGAGAAAAAAACAACACACTGTCAAGAGACAAAAAAATCAGCAGAATTAGACACAGCTATGATACAGATGATGGAATTATTAGATAGGAATTTTAAATAACTGATCAAAATGTTATAGACTCTAGCGGAAATGAGAACACCATGAATTATCACATAGGTAAGTTCAGCAGAGGAATGAAACTATAAGAAAAAAAAATCAAATGGAAATTCTTGAAATAAAAATTACACTCATAAAAATAATGATTTTGATAGGCTCATTAGTAAATTTAACACAGGTAAGAAAAGAATCAACTAATTTAAGCATAGGTCAATAGAAATTATTCAAGCTCAAAGAGGAAAAGGAGTTTTAAAAATAAGCAGGGTATCCAAGAATTGTGAGGCAATAACAAATGGTCTAGCAGAATGGTAATTGGAATTCCAGAATGAGAAGACAGAATGAGGCAGAAAAAAATATTTGAAGAAATAGTTATCTAATTGACATTTATAAAACACTCCATCCAAGTACGCAAGAAACATTAACCAAAGCAAACCATTTTATGGGCCATGGAACCAATATTAATACATTAAAATACAAAAAAATATACATTAATACATTAAAATAGTTGAAATTATACAAAAAGCATTTTTCAAAACTAATGACAGACACCAAACCACAGATCCAAAAAGTTCAGAGTACACCAACCAGGATAAATTAAGCAAAAACAAATACTTAGAAATAGCTTATTCAAACTGCTGAACACTAAAGATAAAGAGAAAATCATAAATGTAGGCAGAGAAAAATAGTACATACAGAGGAACAATAATAAGAATTACATCAGACTTCCCCTGAGATGTCAGGCAAGCCACAAGACAATACAAATGCTAAAACTACAACAACAACAACAAAAACTATTAACCCAAAATGTATCCCAGCCTGTGGGCCAAATCTAGCCCACGGTCTGTTTTTGTAAATAAAGATTTTTCCTGGACCAAAGCCACACAAGTTCATGTATGTATTGTCTATGACTGCTTTTACACTATGACAGAGTCCAGAATTTGTGGACTACAAGACCTAAAATATTTGACCCTTTACAGAAAAAATTTGTCAACTCCTAATCTAAAAGATAACTGACTTTCAAAAAAGTAGTAGCAAAAACAAAAGTAGTAACAAGCTGTTGTGTACTCATAGCATACATAAAAATAAAATGTTAATATATGACACCAATGACACAAAAGTGTTGGAGAAAAGAATAATTAACATATTTTGTAAGTTTCTTAGACTAGATATAAAGTAGTATATTATTTGAGGTTAGAATTTTTTATTAAAGATGCATGTTATAAAACTTGGGTCAACAACTAAAAATTTTTAAAGAGACATAAATAATAATAAGCTTTTAGTGAAGATGCAACAATCATAAACAAAGGAAAGGAAATAATGAAGATAAGAGTAGACATTAATGAAATTGAATAGAACTATTCTATTGGTTGAGAATGACTGAGGGTGAAGAGAGATCATCATCCCCAAGGAAGGATTTAGGGGTGAAGGAACCCTTCTGTATCTTGATGTGATGGTTGCACACTGGATACATTTATCGAAATTCCACAGAACTGTACACTAAAAAGACTAGACTTTACTGCATGCAAATTATACCTTAATGAAAAATGGGTAAAACACAGAAATGGGAAGCAGTATCTTTCATGGCAAATGGAAGATGACCATCTTTTGTTTTAAAGACAATGAAAACAAAGCATTGAAATAAAATTTTGGCTAGATACTGCTCCCTGGTCACAAGCTCTGAGCCTGAGGACTGCTTTACCTCAGTAAAGGAGAGCTTGACAAGTTTTAAGTGGTGTTGAAGATACACCATCTCCCAACAGAGACTTTTTCTTTAACAATACAACCAAGAAAAGATTCAATGATAGTTCGTGGCTTATCTACATAGCACCTGAAATCATTTCTGCCATCTCTGGTGGGAAACACCACACCTCAGGCTGGGCCATCAAGGGAGGCAGCCTGGCTGGGTCCCCAACAGCTTTTTGCTGGGCTTCCCTGACCTCTTCCCAGAGGAGGCACACTTTGCAGCCTCCTTTCTGGTTTCCTTCCCTGGAGTCTGTACATTTTACTGCCCCCAAAGTTGAGAAAGCATCACCGCCTGGCAGGGCCCTAAGTTTCACTCCTTCTCAGGAAATCTGCACTTTCACTGGCTTTTGGAGTCAGAAAACTTCGGAAGTTCTGCCTCTCCTGGTACAGTTGCCGATGACTGAGAACAGATTTCTGAATTTTGAGGATGCTCAAAGCCCTCCGTCAACCCTCATCACACCCAGAGAAAGTCCACGGCTTCACCCCATTTCCACCAGGGGCTCATCCCCCACCCCTCCCAATAGGCATTTGTTGAGTGAATGACTGTGTGATGGGCTTTTCTGGTTTCTAGTTTTCTGTAATAAGACTGTATTTTACCTCGTAATAAGTAAAAAAAAAAAAAAAGAGGAAAGAAACCTGCACCCCAGGCGACAGAACATTGTAGGGTTGAAAAGGAGAGTGTATGGCTTCTCACAGCTGAGAACCACGCTGGACACTGTTCATCTCCCTTCAATGTGCCTGGAGTGTTTAATGGGTGAACCATCTAGGTACAGATGGAGAGAGGCTTGCTGAGATCACACTGGTGGACGGTGATTTAGCTGCACTGGAGCCTGGACTCCTCACCCATCGGATCCTGCCTCCTCCTTCCCCTCATCACCATGAGTCAGCATTATCCAGCATGGCCCTGTGCCAAGCTCTGGTCTTGGGGGCTTTACCCACATCATCCCATTTACTCAGAACAGCCATCCAAGACTGGTTCGTGTGGTACAACAAACATACAAACATCAAAATCACATACACAATGGTGAGCTGGCCCCTGTCCCATGTCCACACTAGCGCAGACCTTACTGTGGGGACAGGATCACCAGCACTGGTTTCTTTGTTCCCGTCCCCTGCCCCTTTTACATTTTTTGTAGAATATGGATATTGAAATCCACCATACACTCTCTTTTTCAATAAGCCACTCAGCTCTGGAGACACAGCTGGACCCTGTGGATTTGGCGAGATGCAGGAGTGAGCCATCCAGAGCCATCTTGGAGACCAGCTTCCAAGGAGAAGCCCACTGGTCTTCACCAACGCATGTAGACACCCACCGGCTTCCCACAACGTTCAGGCTAAGGTCTGGGCCATGGCACCCCAAAAACCCTTTCCGTTCACCTTTCTTTGGCGCCACCAGGCCACAAACATCTAAGCTACAATAAACACGGTAGCAAAGAAGACACGGGGGGACTGTCACACACACCATCCTGTATCACCCACAGCTCTCTTCCCATTTCGTGGCTCCTCCACGACCCGCAGAGTCCACAAACAGTGCCAGGGGCACTCAGACCCCTCGTGGTCCTTGGACGTTGGTGGGAGATCTGGTTTTACTTTGTTCAAATTGTTTGCTAAAACTAATGGCGTGTTTCTTAATTTCCTGGAGCTTGGGGAAAACAGCCCAGGGAAAAAAAAAAAAATCAGCCTCTGATTCATTTTCTCCCTTCCTTCCCTAAATGAAAGAGAAAACTCAATGAATGCCCGTGGTTGATAGCTGTGAGTACCTTGAATCAAAGCCCTGCTTCCCCGTATGGTATAGAGTCTTGGAGGAGCCTTCGAAGCTAGCTCCTTTCAACAAGTTTCAATAAAAGTGCCCTGCCATCAACAAAGGCACAAGCGAATCTCAGCCCCATCAAATCCAAGCGTTTGTCACCCTGAAGCCTGGTGGGAAGGCTTTTGGGGTCAGGGAACCAAGGGGAGGCCAGGGGTGGAAGGAACAATATCTTGTTAACTTTTTTTCTTGAGGGCAGTTTGCAACTTCACTACCACCCCAACTTGCATTTACCTTGGCCTGAAGAATTGGGACGTTCTGCAGTAAGGTCCATAAATTCCTTTTTTAAGCTAGCATGAGCCAAATATAACAAGTAGCTGTCCAGACCTGTTTAAAAAGAATAAACCCCAGCTAAGCACATAAATAACAGCCCACTGCCTTTTATCATATAAACATGGCTGGAAAGCCAAATGCGCTACAGAGCCTAAACACAGATTCTCATTGTTATCTCATTAAGTCCATTAAATATGCAGGAAGGAAAATGCTTTCATATCTTGGGCCTGCTTTAAACTATCAGGGAACAGATTAGAGTCAATGAATGCTGTGAACTCTGAAACTGCCAGCCCTGGATGGGGAGTGTGGGGGGTGCTCCCAGTGGAATCCGGGTCCGCACCTGTCACAGACAAGAGTTCATAAAATCTAAGTGGACTCTGATGTGCACCTCCCTCCCTCCCCCGGCCCCACGCCCCCATTGCTGGAAACTTCAGTGCCTCATCTGTAACTCACGAATCAGGATCAAGAGATAAACCCCCACCTCTGAGACAGAGAGTCGGTAGACTCCAAGCAGAAACTGTGCAAAAGTCTCTTGCCGGTGCTCCGGAAATTGCCAGGGGTTCCAGGCCGCAAGGCGAGACGGCTAAGTTGCTTCTGGCAAGTTGGAAAGAGCTTATCAATTATTCATGCAACTGGATAAACAGGGATTTTATCTTGTAGCATGAATCAAGAGATAAAAATTCCATTTCAAGAGAGAGGGGTGGAGACTAAACCCTGAGTGTTAATTGTAAACTGAAAAAAAAGAAGAGGGAAGGAAGGGAAAAAAGGTCTTAGGCTTGGGTTGTGCTGTGAGCACTTGTAAGATCCCCCACCCCCAAATATTGCTTCTCCAATTCCCCAAGACCCCCCAAACTAGGCAGATGGCCAGAAGAGAAACAGAAAAGAAACAGAGAGTGCCGTCTGTTCACCTTGAATTTAGCTAACCTGCTCCCTGGGTGACATACCAGCCCTCTTATTGGCATAACGTGCCAGCCAGAACAGAACCAACCACTTGCAAGCTGATGGTGGGGGGATTGTAAACCCCCAAACACCACCCTTTTAAGGTATTTCTGTTTAAAATCAATGTGCTGCTTCCAGACTGAAATCCAAAGCAGAGGAAAGTGTACAAACAGCTGCCTAACAAGGCGGAAGGCTCAAAGCAAAACAAAACAAAGGCAAATCCAACATGCAGGATATTTTGGCCAAAAAATAAGATTTCTTTTTTCATGTCCCTTGCCCACCCACTACCCATAGCCTTGCGTCTAACAGTTCCTTAAAGACTAGGAAATTAACCCAAAAGATGAAATTAAGGAATTAGTGGTTTATCAAGGCATTCACATTATTAAATTTGACCATAGATGAGAGTATTTATATGTATATATAAAATTCATCCATCCCAGCGTTAGCCGGGGTTGTCCCTGGGCTGAAGGACTATACGTAACTTTCATTTTTCTTCTTTCCACTTTGTATTTTCCAAGTAGCATATTAGGAACACTGTTAATTTTACAATGAGAGAGATAAATAATAAACTCAGTGCTTTTAAAATCCTGTATGAGGAGCATATATTGATTTTTATAATGCGGGCTAACAATAAACTTTATAACTGACATAATTTGAAGCCACACATGTTCCCTAACTTTTCTTTTTTCCCCCCTTCGACAAAAGCCTCTGAAAACAAGGAATCTGTCACAATAGCTTTTGCCTTTTCTTGCGACCCAGCTGGTGGATGGGAGTGCGGGGCCAATGGGTACAGAAAGGTGAGACCCTGCTCCAAGCAGCTCTTCTGCACACACGAGCAGACATCAGAGGATGGGGACCGAACCATGCTCTTCGGCAAGCCCTGGTGGATCTACATCACTCCAGACTGTCAGTGTCACGGCCAGAGGGACCTGAGTGTCTGGGTGACACCCGACCACCATTCTGGCCAACCCTCTGCCCCTTGCTGTGCCTCAGTCTCTCCATAGTCTCTTTTGCTTACCATACTTTTTGGATCACAGACACAGGAAGTTGCATTTAACATTACTGAGTTCATGGCATGCTAACAACCTTGGTCTATGTTGGGCCCCTCATCTGTCTTATTTTCTTATTGTATACATTTTTCCCTTTGCCCCCACTCCCATCTCCACACCCGTTTCCTTCCTTCCTCCTCCTGAAAGACATCCCCTGGAGTATGTCTAATGGATTGCCTTAGATGCACACACGTGAAATGCAAGCAACACTTGCGTGCAGGTTTGTGTTCTGGGTTTATATGAATGTGCTCTTCTGCTCAAGAGATGATGTGCTTTCCGGATCTCTCTGTGCCATCGTGTATCTCCTTGCTCCGACAGCCATGGATCCCTCTTTGCAGTCTTCACATTTGATAGCCACTTAGAGGCCACCACTTCCCACCCCATGAAGAGCACTATGGTGATCCTGAGATGACACTGGGGAGGAGGAGGCTCAGAGACCAGCCTCTCTGCCTCCCTTCCCTGTCCTCTCCTCTCTAGGTGGCTCCCAAGAGGTCATTTGAAAATGAGTGGACCTGGTCTGCAGAGGCCTCCCAGCTCCAACATCCTGCAGTGCTGAGCCCAACTTGGGGTCTTGGGTGATGTGAGCCACTCATCCATAAACCCACCCAGTCCCCTCTGAAATAATGGTGACATCTGCCCTCTTACCAAAGACCTGCAGCCCACCAGGCCCCACACTGAGGGCTTTACTTGTGTCATCTCATTACATTTTCCCCAAACCTGAGGATTCTCCCTTTGCAGTTGAGCAACACAAGGCTCAGAAGGCTGTGCCCAAAGGCCCAAAGTCATGTACCTCATGAAGGGCAGCACCAAGACATGAGCCCCATTAGACGCCCAAAGCCTTCCTTCCACCATGAGCGGGCAACCTCTCCTCCATCCTGCATCAACAGAAGCCCTCGCTCAGGCTGAATTTTCTTGCCTCCCAAGTAGAATGAACCAAGCCAACCCATTCTTTCTACAGACCGCCTGCAAGCCCTGGTGGGTCTACATAGCATCAAACGGTCAGCTCCACGACCAGAGGGACCTGACTGTCTGGGTGTCATGTTGATGAAGCTATTGGTGCCAGACTCAGCTGCTCAGCCGCCATTCCACAGCCTGCCATGAGTGACCCCGGCATCAGTGAACGGTTTGAGCTGGGCTGGGGACCCAGAAATTTAACAAAAACAAATCCCCAAACCTCCCAGGCAAACAAGGCTGGCCACATAAGAGCAGGCATTTGCTCTTCGCTCAACAGCACCTGCCTGTCACACTGGTGCTGTGGCTGTTCACAGGAAGAACACAAGGCCCCGCCTTTGTGAGAAAGCACCCTTTAAGTGCAGGGATTAAGATGTGTCTCCACAGCTTGAGTTAACACATTAATGAATTGTTACTAAAAAATTAACAAACCATTCGGTGTGAGCACCACCCAGAGCAACAATTACGACAAATGGAGTGTTAGTCATCCACCCACCCACCCATCCACTCACCCTTTCACACACCCATCCACTCATTAGCCCACCCACCTACCCATCCATCACCTATCCATCCACTCACCCATTCACCTATCCATCTACCCACCCACCCGCCTATTCACCCACCCACCTATCAACCCTCCCACCTATCCACCCACCAACCTATCCACCCTCCCATCTATCCACACACCCACCTATCCACCCACCCATACACTCATCCACTCACACACACACCCATTAGCCCACCCACCTACCCCTCCATCATCTATCCATCCACTCACCCATCCACCTATCCAACCACCCACCCAACCATCCACCCAACCACTCACTCACTCACTCCCTCATCCACCTATCCATTCACTCACTCATTAACCCACCCACCTATCCACCCACCTACCCACTCACTCATCCACCCATCTCCCCACCCATCCACCCACCCACCCATTTACTCACCCACTCATGCACCCATCCACCCATTAACTCACCCACCTACCCACCCATTCATCCATCTATCCAATTACCCACCCACTCATCCACCCATTAATCCACCAAACCATCCACCCACTGACCCATCCACCCATTCATCCACCCATCCACCCACTCATCCACTCATCCATCCATCCATCCACCCATCCATCTCACCCCCATCCACCTACCCATCCTCCTCCCCTTCCATTCACCCACTCACTCATCCATCCATCTATCCATCCACCAACCCAGTCACCCATGCATCCATCTATCCATCCACCCCCC